TTGTGTCCCTTTTAAGCAGGCTCGATGTTGGTCCATCCCATACGCGATTGTCCAATCAGATGGTGGCTGCGGGGCTTAGCCACGCCCTGTGTGGTTCCTTTTTTTCATGCACAAGTCATATGCTCCCGTGGGGAGTATGTCTGGAAGTTTTAAATAACTTCTGGTAAAAGTATTATCACCAGAGAATGATACAGAATATAACATTTTCACTAACACCAATGTTCGGCGAATAAAACAAGCTTTCATTCAAGCTCAATATCGGATAGTTTGCATACACATTAATAATCTTATGTACTAAAAGGTGTTTATACAACATTGGTTAAACTTGCACAGATTACAGGAAACACATCGCACATCATCAGACATAAACATATTATTTGTGAATATATTGCTCCGATACTTTAAATGATTTTAAATGCTGTCTTTTTTATTGTCTGTGTAAGTTCTGTTTCTTTGTCTGTGACAAAAGGAGTTTGTAAGGGTTTCAGTCAGCAGGAAGCAGATGGTCAAACGTCATGTGATAGTCATGCATGATCCCGTGTTGCGGGCCTGAGGGCGTTAATTAATTTACTTCCTGTGTCTACACTGGTTTCTATACATTCGCGATCACGAGGTATTTTCAGTCCTGATACAAAAGATCTCTGTGTTATCTCCTGATTGGATTAGTTCGAAGCCTCATGATGAGTTGATGCAGTGGCATATCAGTGTCCTGTTCATGATAGAAATCCCTACATATATCCCCCTTTTGCTCGGTGAGGTTCCCATAGAAATCCCTACAACAGGTTTTACTGTTTTCTGTAAAAAAAAAAAATTGCAATCATATGGCTTTATAAGGGCTTTAGGTCCAATCTGATTGTCGGGGGAAAACATACACTGGGGCATGAAAAATCTCTCAAAAATTGCTAGTACATTTTGCAAATAATTACAAAGAAAGAGCAAGTAACACATTGAATTTAAACAGAGTTTAAAGAATAAAAAGACTGAAATAGTATTTTCTTGTAAAACGTTCATTAATCCAACAATCTTTATTTCGAAAAATAATTTTTACAGTGTAATATTCATAATAGTACCTGGTTTGCAACTCAGATGGTGCCAAATAGACATAGCAGGATTGACTGTGGATGGAAAACATACACTGAATAAAAAATACTTTGAGTACTCACTAGTGAAGGGTTTGGAGGACTGTGCCAAGCACAAAAAAAAAAAATCCTTCCGTGTGCACAAACTAATTTTCTACTCAAAGAGTTGATGAGCCATTTCACTATATTACGCTGTTAAAAGGTTTTTAAAAACCTTTGTGTACCACTGGGCCTTGTCTGGATGAGTTTTATTTTTTGAAGTCTTTGTGATAATTTATTTGTTTTAACAGCAACAGATAATTGAGTTGGTGGAATTAATTCTCTCCCTGTCCCATGGCTACACCATCTGCGAAATCATCAAGCATGTTTGTCATGCAAACTTAATAGAAAATCAATTTAACCCCAGCAAACAGGGAATAAGACGATTAGACCCTCGAATGGATAAACTGCACAAACCCTTACCAAAAAAAATACCGTGGTGGTACCATGATACAATCATGCTTTCAGATGTATTAACATGCTTCTTTGACATATAGCATGATATTAAATGATTACCATATTCATATACTTGATATTGCCAACATACAAACATGGCATACCATTGTAGCAGTTCCCTAAAAGAGAATTTGCACTGCATGCAGATGGAGATCTCAAGAATGCTCTAAAGGAATACATCTCTTTCTAGCTTGTACTTATTTGAACAATGTCTAAGAACTTGGTATTACAACCACTTCCTGTGTCTGTTTGCCTCTTTAAGAAGAATCGCTTTATGTATCCCCCAATTGTAAGTCGCTTTGGATAAAAGCGTCTGCTAAATGACTAAATGTAAATGTAAATTTAAAAGTTGATCCGTTGCAGTCTTTACACCAGCCTTTTATGACATACAGTAATGAATATGTTGTATGGAAGGTGGAATCATGTCTGTCTATCTCTTCCACCAGTTTCTTCTCTAAGAGGGAGAAAAGGTGAAATTAAAAATAAATCATAAGAATTCAATTTAACAGTGAAGCATAACACATGACGGAACCAAATGAAAACTTAATGACACTTCTTCTTGGTTTGCATTATATATTTATGTGAGGCACCTTCATTTTGACTTGTTGCCACATTGTTAAAGTTTCATCAGTGTTGTAGATCTTAGTGGTGTTGACATGGTGGTTAAATTAATTGGAATAAACAATCAAGACCACAAGAGAAAATGCATCTATTTTGCATTTTTCTAATGCAATGTCCTTTTTTGTTCTGAATACTGGTCAAACGTTTGGAATATTTTTTTTTTCTTTTCTTTTTTTTTATGTTTTGGAAAGAAGTCTGTTATACTAACCATTCAAGGCTGCATTTATTTGATCAAAAATATTTTAAAATATGGTGATATATTATTACAATTTAACACATCTGTTTTCTATCTGAATGGTTATATTGTGAAATATTTTTGCACTTTAAAATAACTGTTTTCTATTTTAGTATATTTTAAAATGTAATTTATTCCTGTGATTCAAAGCTGAATTTTCTGAGTCTTCAGTGTCACATGTTTCTTCAGAAATCACTAATATGCTGATTTGGTGCTCAAGGAATATTTATCAAACAGTTGTGCTGCTTAATATTGATATAATAACTGTGATGCACCGCCATTCAAAAGTCTGGGTTAAGTAAAAATAAAATAAATAAGTAAATTCATTATTAGGTTACACTTTATTTTGTGTGCTTATTACAGTGTAATTATACATTTAAGTACTGAGTAATATTAATTAACTACATGTAATTAGTATTTTTCTTTAGCAAAGATGCATTAAAATGATCAAAAGTGACATTAAAGGCATTTATAATGTTTCAAAAGATTTCTATTTCAAATAAATGCAAATAAACTTCCTATGCATGAAAGAAAAAAAGTATCATAAATATATCACAAAAATATTAAGCAGCAAAAACTTTTAACAATGATAATAATATGAATCATGATTAATAATTGAGTAAATAGCATTATTATTATCATTATAATTTATGCTATAATTATAAATGATAATATGCTATATAATTATGCTATATTAATATACAGTATACTACTAAACTAATAAAAACTATATATATATATATATATATATATATGATAAAATGATAAATTAATAATCAAATAAATAATGCATGGCTTGTACTTTTGAGTACTATTGAACTGCTCCGTTTCTTTGTGCATACAGTATCAGTATATTTCGTAAGCTGCTGAAGGGTGCTAGGTCAAGTGTGATGAATGAACTTCATGAATGTTGTATTGTTTGGTGTGAGAGCACACCTTCTCACTCAAGCAATGCATGCAGTTCCATATCCTGGTTCAGTATGGCTTCTCTGTTAAAGTGAACACGATTGACAGGCCCAAGAGTACTTATTGACACACACACACGCATACAGAGAGCTGCCTCTGCCCCTGTGGTGGCCCTGTTTGACGCCCACGTAGAGTTCAACACTGGCTGGTGGGTGATATGAGAACTCCGGCTATTCCTAGCGCTTCATAGCCAGACTGTTATTACTGCTTCTTTCAATTGAAATGGTCTAAAGGATCAGTGCACTTGTTCAAGCACTGACAGGAACTGAGGGGCATTTTTTTTCCCTGAAAAGATCTGAAGAAAAAAAAAGTCTAGTTCACTGCTTCAATTTTTCTCTTTTCTTCATGTTGCTCCAAACCTATATGAGTCTATTTCCTCCATGAAACATAAAATGATTTTTTAAGAATGCACACACTTCTTTTTTCCATAGTGCAAAAGACAAAAAAGGACAAAAATGCACCTTAAAAGTACTTCAAATTACTTCTGTACTATATTCAGTTTTTTTTAAATCTATATGAAGGCTTAATATGCAGCATATGCTGGAAAAACATGCCTTTTATGCAAAACTCCAAAATCGTAGGCCTACCTATACCAATTCACAGCAGTTTCCACCTGAAATGAACACTAGAAGATGTAAAACACCAACAACTTAAATTCCTTTTCACACAAATTATGGTTATGGCGAAGATTATTGGTTAATAAAGATTATTTTCACAAGATTCCTTACACAATACTATGTTGTGGCCTGAAACTATTTTATCATAATACACAATTTGCAAACTAATACATTTTAATGTTTGCATCACGTAATATGCTCCTTGTGTATGGCTTTTCTGATATAGTAAACTTGCTCGGTAGCGCACCTGGTATAGCTTTGCACCTGTGAAGTGGAGTGCTTGGGTATGAGTCCTGTGAAACATTATGCACCATAAAAGACCTCAGTACTTGTAGAAGCAAGCTGAATTAGCAAGTGTGCTTTTATCTCATGTTTACTTTTGTTAACACTATCGGTTTAGGGTAGGGTTTAGTGTAGGTGTTACGTTATTTTCAAATATGACAGAGCATTAACCTTTTAGTGCAATTCACTGGATATTTCTAAACTGCTGCCATATGTACATCAACCAACGTAATAAAACATTGCCAGATTCCCATTTATAATTTTTCAGATTGAAATGAATCTTTTAGTGCCACTCACTGGACATTTTACAAAGTGTCGCGGAATGTGTACCTTAATATCATTATGCAGAAATGTTGCCACAGGTGCATTTTATTTATTAATAATGTGAGGAACCGACTGAAACGTAAGTCATTATGCACTCAAAATCTTCATTTCTAACTTTTAAATTTCATTCACACTTCATTTTCAAACTTGGCAGTTCATTCTTGGAGGATCTATTCCTTTAACCTGGTCCTGTATAAACACAGATCATATAGATGCCCTTCATCATCAAAAGAAGTTCTGGATCTTAGAGTTGGCACACCATGGTTTCTCTCATAGCAATCTGACCCAGATATGTCAGTGCAATTTGAATAACACCCAGAATTTTTCTGCCTTTAATCAGCTTTAATGTGATTTTAAAGCCGTACAGTACTGCTCAATTTGCATCTCTCTAGAAGAATCAGTCCTAAAATAGTACTGAGGATGAGCTGACTGAATAGGCACTGTTTGTTATTTAATCTTGTTGAGAATGCACTGCCTGTTCAGCCTCACGTTTCATACTTAAAAAATGCCTTTTGTTTGGAACAAATCATGTTCACTGGGTGGTAAACAATTTTATTGTTATTTCTACAGGGCTGAGCCTATTCTCCAAAGGATCAAAGAAGACAGAACCAGAATTATATCTCCATCTTTTGACAATATCAAATACGACACATTTGAGATTGAAGAGTACCCACTCTCCGCTCAGGGCTTTGACTGGGAACTGTGGTGCCGGTATCTGAACCCACCAAAATCCTGGTGGAACTTGAACAACAGCTCTGCTCCAATCAGGTGTTTTGTTCAATTTATTAATTTGAGAATATTTATTGATTTATTTATGTTTGTTTGTAAATATTTGTATTTATTTAAATATCTTTATTTATTTAAAAATTGTTATTTGTTTGTTTGTTTGCATTTATTTAAATAAATCTCTTCACTTTATTTATAATTCATGATTTATTTATATTTTATTTGAAGCTTTTTTTTTTTTTAAATCTCATCCTTTATTTGTTTGTTTGATTGCATTTATTTAAATAAATCTCTTCACTTTATTTATTTATTTATTTTCAATTATTAATCTGTTTATGTTTGTAAATATTTTTATTTATTTAAATATCTTTATTTGTTTATTTAAAAATGGTTATTTATTTGTTTATGTGTTTGTTTGTTTGTTTGTTTGTTTGCATTTATTTAAATACATCTCTTCACTTTATTTATAACTCATGATTTATTTATCTTTAATTTAAAACTTATTTTTTTATTTAAATCTCATCCTTTATTTGTTTGTTTGTATTTATTTAAATAAATCTCTTCACTTTATTTATTTATTTATTTTTAATTATTAATCTGTTTATGTTTGTAAATATTTTTATTTATTTAAATATATTTATTTATTTAAAAATGGTTATTTATTTGTTTATGTGTTTGTTTGTTTGTTTGCATTTATTTAAATACATCTCCACTTTATTTATAACTCATGATTTATTTATCTTTAATTTAAAACTTGTTAATTTTTTTATTTAAATTTAATTCTTTATTTGTTTGTTTGTTTGCATTTATTTCAATAAATCTCTTCACTTTATTTATGTCATGATTTATTTATCTTTTATTTAAAGCTTATTTTTTTATTTAAATCTCATCCTTTATTTGTTTGTTTGTATTTATTTAAATAAATCTCTTCACTTTATTTATTTATTTATTTTCAATTATTAATCTGTTTATGTTTGTAAATATTTTTATTTATTTAAATATCTTTATTTATTTATTTAAAAATGGTTATTTATTTGTTTATGTGTTTGTTTGTTTGCATTTATCTAAGTAAATCTCTTCACTTTATTTATAACTCATGATTTATTTATCTTTAATTTAAAACTTGTTCATTTTTTATTTAAATTTCATTCTTTATTTGTTTGTTTGTTTGTATTCATTTAAATAAATCTCTTCACGTTATTTATTTATTTATTTATGTATTTATCTCTTTATTTAAATCTGTTTGTTTATGTATGTATGTATTTAATTATATAAATCTTGAGCTTTGTTTTGTTTGTTTTATTTAAATACATTTCTTCATTTATTTGTCTGATTTGGCTGATATTACAATAAATATATATTCAGTTAATGCAATTCTCTAATGTAAATCTCTAGGAGTCCAGCCCTGATTGGCTGCTTTGTGGTGGACAGGGAGTACTTCGCAGAGATCGGCCTGCTGGATGAAGGCATGGAGATTTACGGAGGAGAGAATGTGGAGCTGGGTGTGAGGGTGAGAAACTATGTCATTCTGAGCAGGCTATGGGGTAATGAGGATAATGGATTCACTCTTGAAGGATTAATGACTCTAATGGCCCTCCTTTCTTGGCAGGATAGTTCAAGTTGGCACCATTTACTGTATCTCTTGTCAAAACGCATTCTTTTGATCTGGTTGTAATTGTTATGCACTTTAAAAATGAGACAGCTTTTTTTCAGCATCTTGACGTCCAACATCAGTGTAAGTGGGGTTATTAAAACTACAACAATAATAACATGTTTTAAATAGTTTGAGATGAAGTAGAGCAAGGCAAGACACTTTTGAATTTAGGGCTGCTACTAACATTTTGTATTATTTTTTTCAATTAGTTGATTAATGCAATGATTATTTCCCTCAATTATTTCAACATTTTATCATAAAAAGTCTTTCTTTACAAATAAAAAATAAATGAAAGTGCCAAGAATTATAAGACATTTTCAGTACTGCAAATGTCCAGAAGTCCAACATACTGTAAACTCAGCACAAAAATGGCTAGTGCCAATTATATCTGGAAATGCACATTTATTATTGATCAATTATGAATCATTATTATGAATCAATTCAAATACATGTCAACTTTTCCTTTGGAAAACAAATCTTTCCCGACTAATGCTGTAAACTATACAGGGAACCCTCTTATTTGGTACACTGGTATAATATTAAATGTTAAAATTAACATTTTGTTAATTTTGTTGTAACATTTTGTTACAAACATTTAAATTGCACATAAGGTAGTTTTCATGAAAACCTGAAAGATTTATTCAAACATACATAATTATTATATTATATTATATTATATTATATTATATTATATTATATTATATTATATAAATATTGCACATGTCGACGCTTTCCATGCAAATTGACTTATTTACATAGTGGACGTTGTTGAATAAGATGTCAAGATGTCTTCATTTAAATTTTTATCCTTTATAACGGTATTCTTTTACCAGTGAATTGCTAGATTTAGCTTTGCAAAAATGTTCAGACCTTCTCTATTTTTACTGATTTACAAATCCAACATTGAAAAGTTCCTATCTGTTCCTTTTTTGGTTCCCAAAGCTCAGGCAGTACAGCCCTATATTTTGTATTATCCATTCATACTTTTGTTTTAACACTGCACCGGGTCTGTGCTGATGAAAAGCAGCCCCACGGCATGAAAACTACCACTTTCGCTGAAGGTAGGTGTTAGATTTGAGCAGTGTTAAATTTAGTGCACCACATTTGCTTCACATATTTCTTTTTCTGTGCCACCCTCCTCTACAGGCCGGTGTTATATAGGCTTCCTGATATGGTTGACTGGTGCACCTTTAGTCTGTTTTCAGATACTGAACTCTCAAAGCGAACATTGTCCTTTATGTGGCTGCTCTCACAAGTCTCCTGCTGTTTGTGCAAGGAGTTTTATAGGGCAACATTTTCTAGGCAACATCTGGGTGGTTTGATGCAGCTTTTCTTTATAATTGAAATAGAATTGCCCGCTGGGACACATAAACACTTGGATATTGTTGTCCTTACTTATGCATTTGGTTTACTTAATTTCTGACTTCATAGAATGACTCTTTAGTATTCATTTCACATATGCCCTTCAAACTCACAACTTGAATAATGACTCATTATGAACTGTAAACCCCAATATCCTGTGGGAGTTTTAGCCAGAAAATATGGTGGTTTTTAATTGATTCACATGCAGTTTTTTTTGAGAATTTAGTTTTAATCTGGAGGATATGGGGGCTGAATACATATTTCAGTTATTGTTTTTTTAATCAAGAATATTTTGTAGCATAAATAGTATCTTTTTAATTTTCAGTTTTCATTGCTAGGAATAAAAATACATCTGAGAGAAAAATGTCAGTGTAGGATTCATAATTAGGTAAAATGTATTAATAGTTTGAATATTTATGAGGTGCAGAGTATACTACCAGTCAAAAGTTTTTTTTGAAAGAAATCACTTATGCTCACCAAGGATTGTAATAACATTTCACAATATTAATGGTTTTGCCTTGGTGAGCAAAAGATACTATACTTCTTTCAAAAACATTGAAACATTCCAAACTTTTGACTGGTAGTGTATGTATTTAGGCTGGAAGATATTCATTTGGTTTGAGAACAGGGCACATCATAACCTTCCACCATTATAAATAATCTCATAAAATCCATCGCTCACTGAAGGCATATTTCAAAATAGCCTTCAATAAAACTCAGTGACCCTAATGTCAGTCGCACTTCAGACCCTGTTTACTTTCTTTTCCGTTTAAACTGCCGTTTCTTTGCTGGGTTATTTGTATGTGTCTTTGTCTTCGTCCCAGCACAGTCTTAATAAATGTGCCGTACCTGAGCAGAGAGCCATTATAATCCCTAAAGAAAGCCAATAATAACCTTCAAGCATACTGTGACCCCAAAAAGCATTTTCAAGGAACAGTTCACCCAAAATGAAAAATTGCTGAAAATGTACTCACCTTCAGGCCATATAAGATGTAGATGAGATTGTTTCAGAACAGATTTGGAGAAATTTAGCATTATATCACTTGCTCACCAATGGATCCTCTGCAGTGAATGGGTGCCGTCAGAATGAGACTCCAAACAGCTGATAAAAACTTCACAATAATCCACAACTAATACGCATGACTCCAGTCCATCAATTAACATCTTGTGAAGTAAATAGCGGTGCATTTGTAATAAACAAATCCATCATTAAGGCGCTTTTACTGTAAACCGTCGATTCTGACCATAATCCACCACAATAACGCTTCCTCCGTCCCCTGTTGTCCTCTCACACCAAAATACACTGACATATTTGTCTAAAACTGTTTTGGACTGTTTTTGCTTATAAACAGTGCTTTATCTGTGCATATTTGTCTCCTGATTCAGACGAGATGACTTCTTTTTTTTTTTTTACTGTAGAAAGCAATATTATAGATAGAAGACTCAAGAAGATTAGATAGATAGATAGATAGATAGATAGATAGATAGATAGATAGATAGACAGATAGATAGATAGAAGATTTAGATAAATGGAAAGTGAATTGTTCTGATTGCACTAGACGGCACACAGAGACACAGTGTGCTAGATTTGTTCATGTCTCTGTTTACACCAGATTATGGTAAAAGCAATGAAAAGACAGGCTGCTGCGAGAAGGCAGAGGTGCTTTAGGCGCTACTACCTCTTTCCTCACTTTACCCACAATTCCCAGTGGGTTTTATCTGTTTTTAGTATATTACGGCAGCACTACAATGAGATGGTGAGTTATGTGTGTGCAGATTAAAGTCTCAAGAGAGAAAGGCAATTTTCAGATCTACGCGCATCACTGTTTCAAATAAAAATAGTAGACTTTGTTTGCCGTTCTATATAGAGGTAGACGTACAATGTCCTCGATCAGCGTTAAATGCTAAGTGGGTGAGAAGCAAATGAATCACATGTCTGAAGCCTTCTGAGGTGATAAACGGAGATTAGAGCGTCGTGTGATAAAGCTCATGAAGCATTTATGCAATATGCAGATGGAGTCCTCTCACACACTGAATCACTTGAAGAAATAAAGGACATTATGTGGAACATGTAAGCGAATTATAGTGTACCAGAGATAAAAATAAATAGGCCGTGCAGAGATTTGATGGTTCAGTGTAAAACAACCAAAATTTACTATTGTGGCCTAAGCACTGGGTGGTTCTTATGAAATGGTGAGGAAATGTGATATTTCAGGTCCTGTTTCATCCCAAAATCACTAAAATAAGGAATAGTTATAGTTTGCATAAAGAAATGAAGCCTACTTTAGGACCATAAAGATTTTTTTTTAATTGTAAGATGACAGAACATTTAAGCACACATTAAACACATTCTTGCTGAATACCAATCATGAAGCTGAAGGTATTGATTTCTTTCAAAAAAATAAAAAATAAATCCCCCCACATTTCCCCCTGAATTCTCATGTATGTAATGCTGAAAAATTAGGGTTTCATTCATTCATTTGTTCATTCATTCATTTATTTTTAAATAGACATTTTTTTTTGTGGATTTGTTGGATTGATCTTGCATATACAGTATTACACAACAGTTTCGGTTCTCTGATTTGATTGGTTGAAAATGAAAATGAGGGATATATTTATTTATTTGCATTACAGTAAAAATATATTTCTTTATTCAAAATACATTTTCTCATTTTGTCATTTCATTATAGAGTTAAATATGACCTGGACCTGGAATTTGTGAGACCGGTATAATATAACAGTGAGTTTCGTTCCTCTAATTTGATTGGTCGAGTGGCTGATATTTTTAGTGTATCATAACTGATTTTTCTCTGTTGGAGTCCCTCTGCTTGCCCATTGATTTTTATTCTTCATGTAGTTCTACACTAGTCTACATGGATTCTGCTATTCTGCTGACTAATCACTGTTTGCTCACTAAAGCAAATCAAATGTCATCGATCCATTCAGGCTATCAGAGACCATTCTGCTCTTTGCTATGTAAACTCAAAGCATGCTTAGTATATACTCTCTTTTGGGATGGTGTGAGATAAAGGATGAAGGAAAATGAGAGCGTGTTGCTGGTATTTTTTCAGTAGGCCATGGTCTGAAGTGCATCAAGCAGCATTGTGTGAGGGCTCTTTCTGTCCTTATTTATCCAAAGGGAATGAGGCTTTGCACCTCAGACGTTGAAACAGATGGCCTTTTCTTGTCTGAAATAAAACATAGCTACCGTTAGCTACAATAAAGAGTCATGTCAGCACACACTGCTGTCTTAAGCGACTGTCTAGGACTGCTGGAGCATAATTGATTAATGTGATTTTACGTACATTCCCATTTCTCGTTGGTTTTGCTCAGTGGTTTTAACGGTGACTCAGATTCTCAGATGTGGATTGTTGACTTGCTACGCAGTAAGTTCACTGTGGAAAACTGAACATAGCGAGGTGACAGAAACTCTAAGTATTTATAGACTTGTCATCCAAGTCTTATTCATTAGAGGTTTGTAGGGTTGCAAATTA